GTTTTACGATTGTTTTAAAGGAGAAGTACTCTGTTTTATTTCAATTCAAAGGGTGTTTTTTTCTTCTGTTTGGTTCTGGTATTGTATGTGTGTGTTTTTTAATCTTTACAACAGTGACTAACAATAAGCGTTTTTGTTTTAGTTGAGGATTTCAAAGAAGAATTTGTTTGCTTCTTTGTTTGTTTGTTGTTATTCGATTCCGAGGTTAAGTTGTTTTCCTAGTTTATTTGTTGTGTTTTAAAGTATTGGATGTTTGGTTTACGAGAGAGAGTGTGTTTAACGGGTAGGGATTTATAGGCAAGAATGTTTTACAGGAAGAATATTTTCATCCCAGAATGTTTTTGCGATCTGCCCTTAATGTTTTTGCCACTTAATGTTTCACCACTTAATGTTTCAATTTAATGCTTGCCCCTTTAATGTTTCAGCCCTTAAAGTTTCAATTCCCCAGAAAGTTTAATTATAGGTTTTTACCCCAAAGTATCACCCTTAAAGCATCACCCCAAAGTATCACCCTTAAAGTATCACCCCAAAGAATATCAACCCAAAAGTATCACCCCAAAAGTATCACCCTTACATCACCAAAGTATCACCCCAAAGTATCAACTTAAAGCCCTGCTATCACCCCTAAAAGTTTCACCCCTTAAAGTATCACCCTTAAAAGTTTGCCCCAGAAAGTTTCAAAGGACAGAGGCTCAAGGGACCGGATCTCCCTACGACCATTACTGTCAGTGACTATCTTTCAATGTCCTAAAATCCCGAGACTTAATTCTCGTTCTAAAAACTAACAGGTCCTCAAAAACCTACGGCTCCCAAAAACTTCCATGGCCCCTCAAAAACTTCCATGGTCTAAAAACTTCCATGTCCCTTAAAATACCATGGTCTAAAAAACTTCCACAGGCTCCCCCTAAAACCCATGGTCTCAAAAACTTGTCCCTCAAAACTTCCATGGTCCCAAAAACCTACGGTCCACAAAACTTCATGGCTCCACAAACCCATGGCTCACAAAAACTTCCATGGCCCACAATAACTTCCATGGCCCACAAAAAACTTCATGGTCCACAAAACTTCCATGGCCCTCAAACCTATGGCCCCAAAACTTCCATGACCCCAAAACCCCGATGGCCCCAAAACTAGTCCCCAAAAACTTCATATAATAAAAACTTCATGCCAAAATCCCAGGTCTCAAAAACTTCCATGACCCCCAAAACTTCCATATGACCCAAAACTTATCTAAAAATTTCATGTCCAAAACTTCCATAGTCCCAAAAACTTCATGGCCCACAAAACTTCCATGGCCCCAAAAACTTCCATGGCTCCCAAAACTTCCATGGTCCTAAAAACTTTGATCCCAAAACTTCATGGCCTCAAAAACTTTCAAGACCCCAGAAAATTATAGTCCCAAAAAACTACCATGACCCCCAAAAACTTCCATGGCCCCAATACCATGGTCCCCAAAAAACTTTATGCTCATAATTTTATTACCATGACCCTAAAATTCCTGTAACTCAAAACTTCATGGCCTGAACCGCGCGTGGTAATATTTTAGGTGAGATGGCGGAGGAGAGAGGTGGAGGGGGTGGTGGGTGGAGGAGAGAGGGTGGCGGAGTGAGCGGGGGCAGGAGGAGAGCAAGCAGTGTGGGAGAGTGGGGGGGAGGGAAGTGAGTGGGGAAAGTAAGGGGTGGGAGAGAGTAGGGGTAGGAGTGGGGAGAAAGTAGAGGTGGCGGAGGGGAGAGTAGGGGTCTGGAGGGGAGAGTAAGGGGTGGTGAGTGGGGAGAGAGTGGGGGGCAGCTGATGGAAATAAATACCAGTAAGTCAGAATCTGTGAGAACGTTTTTCCACAACTCTGGCATTTCTAAACACACACACGCACACACACACACATACACACACACACACACACACAGACACACACACACACACACACACACACACACAGGCCGGCCACGCTTCACGGTATTTACGTAAGATTTAATAGGAGTCTGTGTCGCAGTTTTAGGAGTCTGCGTCGCAGTTTTAATAGGAGTCTGTGCGTCGTGTTTTAATAGAGTCTGTGTCGCATAGTTTTAATAGGAGTCTGTGTCGGCTTTAATAGGAGTCTGTGTGCAGTTTTAATAGGAGTCTGCGTCGCAGTTTTAATAGGGAGTCTGTGTCGTAGTTTTAATAGGAGTCTGTGTCGCAGTTTTAATAGGAGTCTGTGTCGTGGCTTTAACAGAGTTCAGGTCGTGGAAGTTTTAATAGGAGTCTGTGTCGTAGTTTTAATAGGAGTCTGTGTCGCAGTTTAATAGGGTGTGTCATCTTTAATAGGAGTGTGTCGCAGTTTTAATGAGGTCATGTCGCAGTTTTAATACAAACCAAAGGAGTCTATGTCGTAGCTTTAATAGGAGTCTGTGTCGCAGTTTTAATAGGAGTCTGTCGTAGTTTTGTAGGAGTCTGTGTCACAGTTTTAATAGGAGTCTGTGTCGAATGGCCCAGTTTTAATAGAGTCAACTGTGGGGTGTGTCATGGCACTAATAGGTCTGTATGGTTTTAATAGAAGTCATTGTTTAGCATTAGGAGTCTGTGTCGCAGTTTTAATAGGAGTCTGTGTCGCAGTTTTAATAGGAGTCTGTGTCGCAGTTTTAATAAGTCTGTGTCTGTTTAATAGAGTCTGTGTCATTTTAATATGGAGTCTGTGTCACAGTTTTAATAGGAGTCTGTGTCGTGCCGTGGGGCTGGTGGTCAACAGCGACTAAATAAACTTGAGACTTTACCTGACAGAAACCATCTTTGTTCTTCCCAGTTTGACGAGAAGAAAAACTTGCTAACGTTGGAAGTTTTAAGAATCTGCCTCTCAACCAGACTGACCCTTCTTGTGGTGTTTCTTCGCTGTGTTGTAATGACTGTGTTGGGTGTGTGTGATGAGTGTTGCTGTGTGTGTGTGTGTTATGTTGGGTGTGTGAGTGTTGCTGTGTGTGTGTGTTGCTGTGTGTGTGTGTGTCTGGCTGTGTTGGGTGTGTGGTGAGTGTTGCTGTGTGTGTGTGTTGTGACTGTGTTGGGTGTGTGTAGTGGTGTTGCTGTGTGTGTTGTGACGACTGTGTTGGGTGTGTGTGGTGTTGCTGTGTGTGTGTGTTGCTGTGTGTGTATTGACTGTATGTTGGGTGTGTGAGTGGAGTGTTGCCTGTGTGTGTGTTGTATTGACTGTGTTGGGTGTGTGTGAGTGAGTGTTGCTGTGTGTGTGTGTGTTGTGACTGTGTTGGGTGTGTCTGTGTGTTGCTCTTGTGTGTGTGTGTGTGTTTATGTGTGTGTGTTAGTGTGTTTGTAATGACTGTGTGTGTGTGTGTGTATGTGTGTGTTGTAATGACTGTGTGTTTGTGACTGTACCTCTAGATTCCCTCATAGAACATAAGCCTTGGATCACCTGAAGAATAGACCAGCTTATTTCACCTGATTAACCCTCTAATGGGACCCAACTAACCCTAACCTAACCTAACCTAACCAAACCAATATTTGGTTTGACTGCTCGGAACATGACATTCATTTGTACAGACAGTCGATTGACGCGTTTTTCATTTTTTATTTCCTCTACATCAAGTACTGTAGTCTTGACAGCTGACAAGTTCTGCTCCCCGTCTGTAATTTTTCCTTTGGAGGTCACGTCCCCCCCCCTCAGGCTGTAACCTGGATCACTGAATTAGCCTCAAGTTTATCTACCTTAACATGAACCACTATAAACTAACCTAACCCAACCCAACCTAACCAAACTTAATGCTGACCTAACGTAAATGCAGCCTTTCTTAAATTAACACTAACTAACTAACCTCTCTGGTAGCGTTAGGATAGTTTAATCTTTAGGTGAAATAAGTTTAAAAAGTTAATATTCAAGTAATCCTAACTTACACTTTACAAATCAGGAATTAATTGAATGTTATATTTATCTTCCATCATAACAAGTTCGTTCACTTCGCCCCAAGACTCACTCAAACACGGTCCATTAATTTACGAATCCGTGTTCTCTGGTAGTTTCAAACGCATTGCCCCCCATAGAACCATACATCACGGTTACATTGAGGCTTTAAAACTAGTTAATTTGGTTCAGTTATATAGATCTGACCCCCTCTCCAGACTAAATATATCCACAGTTCACAGAGTCAGTATTGGCTTCATATGGTTCATTCATTATCGACCACTGAACCTTCTGATTTCAAGGAACCACAGAATCTCAAGGCTCAACATGGCCAGGGTTCACTGAATTATCAAAACTGGTTCACTTGTTTCAACTCATCCCTACATAGAAACAAACAACCTCGGTTCATTCGGTTCATAAATTCAGACTTTCCCTATACATATCGTCGGTTCACTATGTAATGAAACTCGGTTCATTTGGTTTACCTTCTCCCCACCTCTGCAGTTCACTGAGGTGCGAAACTGATTCTAGGTACAGCAACGTAAGCTCCACACGTCCGTCGTTCACTGAAGCTGAGATTGCTTCATTTTAGCTCAACAACTGGATTAATTTATTATAGTTTTGTGGGGCTCGCATCCTCGCTCTAGCAGGTGTGAGGTGTGTGTGTGTGTGTGTGTGTGTGTGTGTGTGTGTGTGTGTGTGTGTGTGTGTGGGGGGGTTCACTTGGGATGCAATTAAAATATCCACAGAGAGAGAGAGAGTGCAGTAGCCCTCATAGAAAGAAGACCTTGCAACACACCCTCTGAAACAGAGACAAGTGCTGGGGAGGTTCAATATCGTCCTCCTGAACTGTTGGTTTATACAAAGTCAAGATTATTTATTGGTTGCATCCTCACAGAGACCTGAGAGAGAGAGAGAGAGGTGTATGGTGATGAGTCTTGACTGTAGAAAACTTGGACAAGGAGGAAGGGTGGGAGTTGATGATGGGGGTGGGGATTGAGGAGGGGGTTGTGGGGGTTCATGATGGGGTGGGGATTCATGAAGGTCTGTGGGGTTGATGAGGGGCTGTGGGGGTTGATGAGCGGGTGAGGGGAGATTGATGAAAGGGCTGTGGGGGTTAGTTGAAGGGGGCTGTGGGGGTTGATGGAGGGCTGGGGGTTGATAAGGGGCTGTGGAGGTTGATGGGGGGCTGTGGAGGTTGATGGGCAGGTGATGGGAGATTGATGAAGGGCATGGAGGTTGATGAGCGGGTGATGGGAGATTGATGAAGGGCTGTGGAGGTTATTGAGGGGGCTGTGGGGTTGATGGGGGGCTGTGGGTTGATGGGCGGGTGATGGGAGATTGATGAAGGGCTGTGGAGGTTGATGGCAGGTGGAGATTGATGAAGGGCTGTGGAGTTGATGAGCAGGTGATGGGAGATTGATGAAGGCTGTAGGTTGATGGGCAGGTGATGGGAGATTAAGTGAAGGCTGTGGAGGTTGATAGGCGGGTGAGATTGATGAAGGGCTGTGGAGGTTGATAGGCGGGTGAGGGGAGTTGATGAGGGCTGTGGAGGTTGATGGGCAGGTGAGGGAGATTGATTGAAGGGCTGTGGGGGTTGATGAGCGGTGAGGCAGATTGATGATGGGGCTCTAGGGGTTGATGACGGGCTGTGGGCGTTGATGAAGGCTGGGGTTGATGGCGGGTGAAGGAGATTGATGAAGGGCTGTGGGAGGCGGTTGGGTGTTGAGATGAAAGTTTTAAAAGAAAATATAGTTGGATTTCATTATCATTCTGTGTATAGGAGATGTTATCAGTGTGTCCACAATGTATGGACCCTAACTAACCAAGCTACCTCCTCACCTCCTCACCCTCCTCACCTCACCACCTCACACCACCTCTCACCACCCTAACCTAACCTAACCCAACCCAAGCTACCTCACCTCCACCACACCTCACCTCACCTCACCTAACCCAACCAACCACCTCACCTCACCACCCACACCCTCCCACCCACACCCACCTCACCTACCACCACCCACCTCCCCCCTCCCCTCACCTCCCCACCACCTCCACCTCCCCCTCCCACCTCACCTCCACCCCTCACCTCCACCTCACCCCACCATCTCACCTCACCTCCTCCCCTCCCCCACCTCCCACCTCCCCTCCCACCTCCCTCCCTCATCTCACCCCTCCACCTCACTAGGAAAAGAATCTTGAAAAAGTTTTCAAGTACAACAACAACAACTTCAGACCCACCAATTTTAAAAGATCAAAGTCAGAGTTTTTTTGTGAGGGAGGTTGTGATTTGAGAGATTGTGATTTGTGGAGTTGTGAGTTGAGGAGGTGTATTTGTGGGTTGTGAGTTGAGAGAGATTTGTGATTTATTGAGTTGTGGTTGAGGAGAGTTGTGATTTGTGAGGTTGTGAGTTGAGGAGAGTTGTGATTTGTGGGTTGTGAGTTGAGGAGAGTTGTGCATGGTTGTGTGTGGGTTGGGGAGGCTGTGATTCTTGGGTTGTGAGTTGGGGAGAGTTGTGATTTGTGGGTTGAGTTGAGGAGAGTTGTGATTTGTGGGGTTGTGAGTTGAGGAGGTTGCTGGTTGTGGAGTTGTGAGTTGGGAGGTTTGTGATTTGTGGGTTGTGGTTGGGGAGATTGTGATTTGTGGGTTGAGGAGGTAGAGTTCTGTGGAATAGTGGTCAGGTATGTAGAGGTCTGCTGTGGAGCGAATGTAACAACAAACATATGAGTCCTAGAGGCGGTGTGTATGTATGTATGTATGATGTATGAACATGAATGTATGTATGTATGTATGTATGTATATATAATGTGTGTGTGTGTGTACAACAACACCACCTACACAACATTACCCTTCACAGATGTCAGATTATATATAAAACAATGAAATATAATTCAACTCAGAGTAAGAGCAGTTGAAGAGAGAGAGATAGAGGGTGGGTGGGATGGGATGGAGCCGTGACGTTAAGTAGACTGTAGTGGCGGAAAGTAACGTTAAGTGGAGCTCAGCATCAGAAGCTTTTGGGTTGATAAAAGCGTCTCTAGCATGTGTGTTCTGCCATGAAATATATTTCCTTCTGTTGGTGTTGGAGAAGGTTGGCAGCAGAACAGGCAATAGAGGCGATACAGGTATAGATACAGGTACAGGTACAAATTGCAGGTAGTGGTATAGATACAGGTGGATATAGAGGTACAATTACAGGTATGGAATATAGGTACAGGTATATGGAGTACAGTATGGGTTGCAGGTACAGGTGCATAGATGCAGGTGCAGGTATGGGTGCAGGTGCAGGTGTGGGTGCAGGTGTGGGTGTGGATGCAGGTATGGGTGTGGATGCAGGTGCAGGTGTGGATGCAGGTTGGGTGCAGGTGCAGATGGTGTGGGCAGGTGTGGGTATGGGTGGGTTACAGGTGCAGGGTGTGGGTATGGATGGGTGGGTGTGGATGCAGGTGTGGGTGTGGATGCAGGGTAGGGTGTATAGATGCAGGTGCAGGTGCAGGTGTGGATATAGATGCAGGTGTGGGTGTATGGATGCAGGTGCAGGTGTGGATGCAGGTGCAGGTGTGGGTGCAGAGTGCAGGTGTGGGTGCAGGTGCAGGGTGTGGGTGAGGTGTGGGTGTGGATGCAGGGTGTGGGTGTGGATGCAGGTCAGGTGTGGATACAGGTGCAGGTATAGGTGCAGGTGCAGGTGTAGGTGCAGGTATGGGTGTAGGTGCAGGTGCAGGTGTAGATGCGGGTGCAGTGTGGGTGCAGGTGGGTATGGGTGGGTATGGGTGCAGATTATGGGTGTGGGGTGCAGGTGCAGGTGTAGATGCAGGTGCAGGACAGGTGTGGGTGCAGGTGTGGGTGTGGGTGTGGGTGTAGATGCAGGTGCAGGGTATGGATGCAGGTGGTGTAGATGCAGGTGTGGGTGTAAATGCAGGTACAGGTATGGGTGGGTATGGGTGCAGGTATGGGTGCAGATGCAGGGTGCAGGTGGATGGTGCAGGTGTAAATGCAGGTGCAGATTTGGATGGGTACAGGGTGCAGGTGTGGTGCAGGTGCAGGTGTAGATGCAGATGCATTATGAAATGCAGGTACAGGTATAGATGCACGGGCACAGGTATAAATACAGGTGCAGGTGTAGGGTCAGGTGTAGATGCAGGTGCAGGTGTAAAGTACAGGTACAGGTATAGATGCAGGTACAGGTATGGGTGCAGGTATGGGTGCAAAGATTATGGGTACAGGTATGGATGCAGGTGGGTATAGATGCAGGTGCAGGTATGAATACAGGTACAGGTGTAGATGCAGGTGCAGGTGCAGGTGCGTTGCAGGTGCAGGTGTGGGTGCAGGTGTAGATGCAGGTGCAGGTATGGATGGGTGCAGATCAGATCAGGTATGGGTGCAGGTATGGATGGTCAGGTGTGAATGGGTGCAGATGCAGAAATGCAGGTGCAGGTGCAGATGCAGGTGCAGATGGATATGGGTGTGGGTGCAGGTGGGTCTGGTGCAGGCATGTAGATGCAGGTGCAGGGCATGATGCAGGTGGGGGTATGGATGTGGATGTGAGGTGCAGGTATAGATACAGTGCTGGAGTATGGATACGGGTACAGATGCAGGTATAGGTACAGGTATGGATGCAGGTGCAGGTGTGGATGCAGGTACAGGTTGTAAATGCAGGTACAGGTGCAGATGCAGGTGCAGGTACAGATGCAGGTATGGGTGCAGGTACAGGTACAGGTATAGATGCAGGTGCAGGTGTAAATGCAGGTGCAAGGTGCAGATGCAGAGTGCAGGTGCAGGTGCAGGTGTGGATGCAGGTGCAGGTGTGGATATATGGGTGCAGGTGTAGATACACAGGGTACAGAAGTATGGTATGGGTGCAGGGTGTAGATGCAGGTGCAGGTATAAATTCAGGTCCAGGTGTGGATGCAGGTGCAGGTGCAGATGCAGGTGCAGGTGTGGATACGGGTATGGGTGCAGGTATAGATGCAGGTACAGGTGTAGATGCAGGTACAGGTGTTATTTGAGTTGGGGATTTAGAATATAGTTACGCTACCCCAGATCCCAACAGGTAACAACAATAAAAAAACAAAGACAATCGGACCTAAAGGTAGACAAAGGATGCGAGTTTCGTTGTATATAATAGAGTACATAAATCCATAACAAAATATTCAGCTTATAAATTACATATAAACAACCTAAACATTAACAGTATATACATATTAATAAACATAAAACAATCTCAGAAGCAAGTGGACGTGGGGAGTTAATACAGGATAATGAGTACTTAAGTGAGGAGCTGAGATGGCTGACGAGTAAGGCTGAGTATTGTAGAGACGGTAGGTAGTCACTGCACTAGGTTTAGAGGATAGATGATCCTGTGGTCACTTCCAGACCAGTGCTCTCCTCAATTCAAATTGACAAAGAAGACTGAGGAGGTGACGCAACAACCAGGATGGGAGAAGGGAAACCTCAGGTGGTAACTAAGACGAGTCATACTCGTGTCTCGTCCCTAGATGGCGTTGCTCGTGGTGCTAGGTGGGTAGATCAGGACAATAGATGGCGTGCTTCGTAGTGCTGGGTGGAGGTTCGTAACAGTATAAATACAGGTACAGGTACAGATACAGAACTGAGTGCAGGTACAGGTGAATACAGAACAGTTATAGATATAGGTACATGTATAAATACAGGTACAAGTATAGACAGGTACAGGTATAGATACAGGAATTTTAATACAAATTAAGTGCAGATATGGATACAGGTGCAGGTATAGATACAGGTACAGGTATGAGTACAGGCTATAGATACAGGTACAGGTATAGATACAGGTACAGGTATAATGCAGGTACAGGTACAGATAGGTACAGGTATAGATACAGGTATAGATACAAGGTATAGGTACAGGTACAGGTATAGATACAGGTACAGGTATAGATGCAGGTACAGGTGAGTACAGGTATAGATACAGTATAGGTGCAGATATAGATACCAGGTACAGGTATAGATACAGGTACAGGTACAGGTATAAATACAGGTATAAAGTATAGATGGTACACGTATAGATACAGGTACAGATGGTAGGTACAGGTATAGGTACAGGTATAGATGCAGGTACAGGTACAGGTACAGGTACAGGTATGGATACAGTGCAGGTATCATAAATATGGAGATACAGGTACAGTTATAGATACAGGTGCAGAAGTAGATACAGGTACAGGTGTAGATACAGGTACAGGTATAGATACAGGTACAGGTATAGGTACAGGTATAGGTATAGATACAGGTGCAGGTATAGATACAGGTACAGGTATAGATACAGGTACAGGTATAGATACAGGTACAGATATAAGGTACAGGTATAGGTACAGATACAGGTATGAATACAGGTGGGGTATGAATACAGGTAGGTATAGGTACAGGTATAGATACAGGAGGTACAGAACATAGATACAGGTACAGGTATGGAATATAGGTATAGGTACGGAATTATGGGTATATAGATACAGGTACAGGTATAGATACAGGTACAGGTATAGATACAGGTATAGGTACAGGTATAAGTATAGATACAGATACAGGTATAGATACAGGTACAGGTATAGATACAGGTATAGGTATAGATACAGGTACAGGTATAGATACAGGTACAGGTATAGAACGGGTATAGGTACAGGTATAGGTACAGGTACAGGTATAGGTACAGGTACAGGTAAGAGATCTTTCGCACA